GAGGGGGCCGGTGAGGATCCCAGGCGAGGGCTCTTCGGCGCCACCCTTGGCCTTCCGCCTTCACGCCGCCCGCCCGGCCCGCCGACGCCCTTCAGCATGCCGCCGCTTTTACCCTCTCCCTTCCAGGCGGCCCACCACCCCAGCTGGCCGCCCCACCCTTGTCACCACCGTCACCTCCACCGCCCTGGCCGCCGGCCTGCCCCAAGGCAGTGCGCAGGCCACTACAGACACACCCGGCTCTCTCCGCTCCCGCGGTCCCCTCCGGGCTGAATGCGGCCTCCGGAGAGCGGGCGGCGCAATCGTCCTACCCCCCTCAGAGCCTTCCATGCTCTTCTTTGCGTTTTCCGAAGCATGCACTGCACTCCTCTAGCACCACCCACAGGCTAGTTCCAATTCACTCTGACACGCTAATCTTGAAAACGCGTCCAACGGAGCTCCGTGTTGCTCCCAGCGCCCTCCCCCGAGCTTCCTGCGGCCATGGCCGGTGCTACTAGTATGGGGGGCTACCTGGCTACCGCGAGAGCGACCCAACTCGTCGACATCGTCCGATGATGGTGCCTCAAAGTCAGCCTCCGCAGGCTATCGTTGCGTCGAGCCGGCGGTGGCCGTGACATGTGGTTCCACCACCCCTCGTAGGCTTTGCCTCTGACCGCCACCGTTCCCAGGCTGCCTAATGGGATGGAAAGGAAAGCTGGGCGAGCGTATAGAAGCGTGCTCGACCTCGTCGTGGCAGCCTGCACGGCAGCGCTGGCGGGCGCGATGAGCGTCGTGCCACCTGACCCGAGACGGGTCGCAGGCGTCGTAAACCTCGCGTCAAGTCCGTGTACTGATGTGCTCTGTGTACGGGCGAGTCACGTCGGCGTCAAAGGAGCGACGTGCGACCTGTCAGAGCTTGATCTCCGATCTCAGCGGCGTCGAGTCGTCTCCGGCGCGCGACACTATTGTACCTCCCCAGGACGCGCAGAGCCAGAGGCACCGCAGCTCCAGCTGCTGCGACCCCGCCGAGTGGACGGGGGCACTCCGCGCCACCTGCCGAGTGCCCCCGTCCACTCGGCAGGGTCACAGCTGCCTCTGGAAGGCACCGAGAGGTACAGTAGTGCGCAAATGGTCAAATCAAGGTTTTGTAACGCGAGCTGTGCCACAGTGAAATGGAACTAGCCACAAGTCACCGACCAGGGATAAATAAATAAAGACCCCGACCGCGTAGCCGCGTACGAAACCCATAAAAAGGTTTCACATATCCTACTTCGAGAAGAGCGCTCGCGCCGCTCGTGTTCCCTGCCGTGTCGTCGCAGGAGGAGTGACCGCCTGCGACCTGCCCCTCTTCGCAGGAGGAGTGGCGGCCTGCGCGGCCCGCCTCCTGAGCTGCGGCCGCTTCTTCCCACCGTGCGCGCTCTCCGCGGAGGCTCGCTTCGCGGGGGTGCGCCGCGCGTCGCCCGAGGGGGATGCCGCCGAGCCGCCCTCCTCCGCGGCGGCGCCTCGAGCCCCGTCGCCTCGCCCGACCACGCCCACCTCCCACTCGTAGTCGGTGAAGTCGTCTCTCCACTGTCCGCCCGCCACGGCCGGCCCGGAGCGGTGGAGGTGGGTGCCCTGCCCCTTCTCGTTGAGCCGGCGCCGCGCCGCCACAATCTCGCGCCGGTCCTCCTTGACGAGGAAGCAGACGCCGCGCCAGCTCACGGCGCCGCCGCCGCCGCCCGGGAGGAGGGGAGGCCCGCCGCGCACGCCCGGGTGCGCCGAGGCGCCGCCCCGCCGGGCGCCAGCTCGCTCGAACACGGCCCTCCCCAGCGGCTGCGCGAACGGGTTCCACCAGCCAGCCGCGCACTTGGGCCACGGCGCGGCGGCGAGCGCATCGTCGCGAGCGAAGGTGTCCGGCGGGAGGCGCACCGCCGACGGGGTGCCGACGTAGCCCCACGAGTCGTACGTGCGCAGGTAGTCGGTGTTGTACTGAGCGGTCACCTATCTCGCTTCGTCTCGCGTCATCTCGCGTCATCTCGGGTGGTGGCCGCCGCGCTGAGCGGCCGCCTCGTCGCCGTGCGCGTACTGCGAGTGCAGCGCGACGAAGAAGGGCGCGTTGCCAGAGTCGAGCACGTCGGGGAAGGCGGCGGCAAAGGCTCGCCAGTGCTGCAGCGCCTCTCCGTCCTGCTCCGGGGCGAGGGTGAGCGCGAGCTGGCGCACCTCGAACGTCGGCGGGGCGTGGGGGGTGGGCTCGTTGATTGCGCCGGCGGCGTAGGCGGCGCAGCCGTACACGGGGTGCGCGTTGACGATCATCACGGACGCGGCGTGGCGCCGGTACTCTAGCACGTGCGTCGCAAAGCTGCGGTCGGCGTGGTGGTGGTCGGTGTGGCACTGCAGCACGGCAAAGATGTGCGGCGGGATGTGCAGCAGCACTGCGGCGTGCGCCTGGAGCAGGTAGACGACGGCCCGGTCTTTGCGCTCGATGGAGACGACGCCGCCGCCGCCCTCGGTGCGGTCGCAGAGCGGCACCTGCACCACCTGCGTCTCGGGCGGCAGCGCCGCCGTCTTGAGGTGGCACGACTCGCCGGCAGCCACGCTCTCGAGGAAGATTCCGTTGAGCACAAACCGACACCCGGAGCCGCACGGCAGCGCAGAGAAGGGGACGACGTCAAAGGCCCCGTGCAGGATGCAGTTCAACGCTCGCGCCGAGAGGCTGTCCTCCACCTCGGTGGCACGGCCGACGAAGGGGAGCAGCACGGGGCGATCGAGGCGCGACCAGTCCACCGCGCCACCCTCACGCACCACCAACCCAAAGCCGTCGGGATCGACGGCGGAGCGGGCGACAGACACCTCATCCCAGACCCAGTCCCAGCACTCGGCGTCGTGTGCTGCTGGCGGCGTGAGCTGCTTCCCTCTATCTGCCTGCCTGCGCCGTGGGAAGACAAGGTCGAGCTTCCGGCTCGAGCCGTGTTGAAGCACGCTGACCACCGGCATCGTTCGCCGCACAGACAGCGGCGGCGCACCTGACCGGCCCGATGGACACCGAACAACACTTGGGGTTTTCTTTTCCTTCGAATCAAAAGAATCGGAAGCCAGGCGAGTACAGACCACGCCTCACTTTTTCACAGGGGGGGATCCGTCTGGAAAAAGGAGGCGTGTGACAAGCGGAGGGTTGGATCGCCGTCTTTCGGCGAGGATGGGTGTTGGAGCCCTCTTTGCTCAACATGCGGCCTGCTCTGCCGCCTCAACGAGACCGCCGCGCGCGCGCGCGCTCGGCATGCCTGCTGCTCGCCTGCCGACCTGGCCAGGCCGCGCGTGGCTGGCGCCAGCTCGTCATCGCAGCGGAGCACCGGAGGCGCGGTTTGCCCGCTGCTGGCTCTCGCCCCGCCGGCGGTTCCACGTGAGTCCAGCACAGTCCGGAGCCGAAACCAGCCGGAAATGTGCCTCCTCACAGCTCCTCATGGATCTGCGAAGAGAACCGTCGAGTCTATTCAAGTCTTCAGCCGGTCCGGCTCGCCCCTCGGGGGCTTCATTCAAGCGTGCTGTGTGAGTGTTGAGGTGATACGAGCGCGCGTGGGCGCGGCGCGAGTGCCGTTTTGGGTCTCTTTTATACCAGTGATGAAATATAAACCGACTTTACCACGCGCGCGCACGCGCGCCGCGCTCCTCGACTCTCTCGCACCCGCCCCGAGCCACGCCCCTCACGAGATAGGCGGCTGCGACCCTGAGAGTGCGCAGCGGTGCCGCTGGCGTGCTCACCACACCCACCCATCATGCCTGCATCATTCCTGCACGCACTGCCCGGTCTGGCCGGGGCGTGGGGCGAGATCTGGCATGGCGGCGCGCTTGAATTGAGCGCCTTTGATCGTCTCGCGGCGACTGCTCGCAGGCCGGGCGGCCAGAAACTGTGCCGCTCAGCCATCCGCCGAAGCGAGCGCGCCGGCGGCGGTCCGCCGCCGGCGCGCTCGACTCAGTGTCTTCAAGCCCGCCCGCCGGTGGGGAGCTCCGCATGCCGCACGCCTGCTTTTCGCTGCGCATGCTCGAGCCCCCGGCGAGGGCTTGTGCTGTGAATAGCAGGCGTGGTCTGTACTCGCCAGATCGGAAGCAAAGAGGCGGGGAAGAGGAATGGGACTGGGGGAGTGAGCGGGTCGCGGTTGCCGAGTCGTGCCCTTGTCGCGAGCGAGCCGGCTCGGGTTCGAGTTCTGAGGCTGTCCATGCTCGGTGGATCTGTCTTGTCCTCCCCGACATTACACAGGACTAGTGTGGGACCTGCGGCGGTACCCGTCTCTGTTGTTCGGGCAGTGAGAGACGCAGGATCTGCACGCCAAAGTGGGCCACTCCGCATTTGCATTTTGGTTTTGGGTTGTCGGAGATCATCCATCACGCATCAGCTCTCATGTCTCATCACAGTCAGTCACGTCAGTCAAAGCAGTCGTGGCACGTGGAGCAGTCGCTGATGGCAACGGCGCCGCCACACGCTCCGGACGACCCCGACACACCGACACACCACGCACAATGGGAGGCTATCGCGCACGATCGGGCATCGCGCCGCAAACAACTCGCCGCACAGATGGGGGGGAGGCAGAATCCCACACACACCGGAGCAGCACAGACACCTTACACGTCAGCGCTCGCTCGATGTGGCCGGCGCTCTCCCCTCGGTCCTATCTCGCCTTTTCAACGGCGGCGTGCGGCCACGCGCCGCGCCGAGCCGGTCTCGGCGGGAGACCTCGGAGCCGCACGCGATGCGGGCATGCGCGATGGCTCCGTTGGCTCCGTGCCTAAGGCAGATCGATTAGGGTGTGAGCTGGGCAGCCACCGTTTCTGTACCCGCTCGATCACGTGCAGGCCGTCGGAGGCCGCGCTGGATGGCCCAGGGCCGGCGGCGGTGAAGGCGTCCGTCGATGAAGGGATGTCGTCGAGGGAGCCATCGTCCTCCGCGGCTGGTGCACCGGTCCAGTTGTCGGAGTCCGAGATCGCAGTCGACTTGGAGAGTGTGTTCGGCCCGTTGACGAACTCACGGAATGTGAGCGACTTGGTGCACGCTGGGTCGAGCATCATGACCCGCATCTCATCCTGGGCGAGGAAGTCGCCCAGGGACCAGCTGTTGGCGTCGCCGTTTTGATCGAGCTGCATCCAAAAGGTGCATGGTTTCGTAGTCAAGCGTAAACGCCCAGGAGTTGGTGCCTGGGCGACTTGCTGATGAGAGCGCCTTCCAGGCGGGCAGTCGTGCCCCTCACCTACGGTCATACGGCGGCGTCAGAGGGGGGGAAGGGGCGCGAAGCGTGAACATGGAGGCAAGTAGGTGGTGGGCACCTGGCCAAAGCCGGCGACCTCAAAGTTGTCGTGATATCGCTGAGCGTGAGAGGGACCGGATCGGCAGCAGCACGGGAGGAGTCAGCGGCCGGAGAGGCCGGAGAGCCATCCGACGGAGGCCGGTCGTGCATCGGCGCGTCGGCCGTAGGGGCCGTAGGGGCGGCATCCGTCGCTGCGGGTCGCTGCGGGCCGACGATTGTGGACTGATCGATCGTCGGCGGGCGGATTTCGGCTGGACGTTCTACGGTTAAACCAAGAGCGTCGGCGCCGACACGAGAGACTTCTACGGGTAGATAACATCCCTAGAAAAGAAAGAAAACAGAAACCCAAGGGTGGAGGGGGACGGCACGCCACAGAGAGTGCGTTGTGTTCGTGCGGCGGGGCTCTCTCTTCGGACCAGTTCGGACGAGGACTCGGTCTCGCTGCCCAGTTCCGAGCGGGAGCCGGTGTTCGGCCACTCCGTCCAAGACAATCTCGGGCAACAAGAGCATGTGGTTGGCAATCGGCTCGTCGTCGCTGACGCCACCCACGCCGCAGCTTGCTCGAGTCGCCGGGCTGCGAGTCCTCGCTCAGTCACCCGCGGTGCTCGTGGTCGACAAGCCGAGCGGTCTTAGATCCACGCCCGCCTTTGTGGGCGGCACCGCCGGAAGCACCCGGAAAAAGCGCTGGTGTGCCGCCGCCTCGACGCTGCTCGAGCTCCCGCCGCGCCTGCGCTCGCACGCTGCGATTCTGCCGCGGACGCGCGACAAGTTTGTGCGCTTTGCAGTCAGCCGCGCTGGGCTTGGCGAGAGCGAGGCGGTGGTGGCGTGGCAGGCGCTGGTCCGCGCAAACGAGGAACAGGACGCGCGGGACGGCGTGACGGAGGTCGATTCGGTCCTACGCCGCGTCCGCGCAGCGAGCGGCGGCTTTGCTCAAGCGCGGCTTGTCCATCGGCTGGACGCGTCCACCTCTGGCGTCCTCGCGCTGGCACTCGACGCGCCCTCCGCCGCGGCGCTGTCGCAGCAGTGGCGAGACCGATCCGTGAGCAAGCGGTACGAAGCGGTCGTCGCCGGCGCCCTGCCCGACGGCTCTGGCGAGGTCTGCCTCGCCCTCTCCCGCTGCGCCGTCGCAGACCGGCTGGGCCTCACACGTATGGTGCCTGCTCGCGATGGCTTGCCCTGTCGCACCACGTACACCGTGACACGCCGGCACGCGAACGGAGCTGGCGCTTGGGCCGGTGGCAGTGGCAGTGGCAGAGATGACGACGACCGTGGTTCCGCCGGTTTCACCACCACCGTCGAGCTAACGCCGCACACGGGTCGCCTCCACCAGCTGCGGGCTCACATGGCGGCCATCGGCTACCCGATCCTTGGCGACGACATATACTCTGGTCCGGCTGCGACGCGCCTCTGCCTACACGCAAAGAGCCTCGCCTTTGTCGAGCCGGCATCGGGGCAAACATGGCGCGTGGACAGCCACTGTGACTGGGGCGCCGCGATAACATAAGGCCTAAAGCGCCGTACATTCACATGAACAGCCATTTGATGAAAAGCGGAGCGCAGCACGCCCGTGCCCCTCTTCCACACACTCACACGATTTTTACGCCAAAATGTAACACCACCTTGTGATTTTTGGGTCAAAATCGTCCCGATTTCATAATGTTCGTTCGTACGTGCATCCGCGGCGCCCAGCGCGGTGCCAGCGGCTCCCATACCTCTAAGAAGGTGGGGGACGACAGTCGTGGCCTTGTTTTGGACGTTACGTGCCGCCGAAACTTGATCACCGATCACCGTCTGAATAGATAAGTCCTAGGAAACTCTCCAAAGGCCGGTGATCGGTGACCAGGTGATCGGCCGGTGATCATGCAGCTAGTGGGTGGTGCTCCGGCCACCGCAAGGACGGTCAGGCTACGGTCAGGAAGTAGGTTTGAGTTCACACTCTCCAACACTTAAAATCCCCGTTTGTCGATAAGCGATAACGGATAAGGCAATTCAACACGAATGGTTAGTTACTGCTCGCTGCTCGGCCATGCGGTAGCGTCTGGTGATGCCGCCCCTGCGCGGCTCGCTCGGCAGCAACTGCGCCGCGCAGCGCAGGTTCGAGGGTCGCGGTGGGTGGGTGCACCGGAAGACGTAGCGGTCGAGAAAGCGCTCAGCGACCGCGTCTCGAGGATGGAGCCGTCGCGCGGACCCGACCGGCCGACCGGCAGTAGCAGCAGGCGCCGGAGGGCGCGGGAGGCAGCGGCGACACCTCGGGCCAGAAGCGCGAGCCCTAGGCTGGTGAGGGGGGCCGCTCATGGGTAAACGGCTCTGGGACTTAGCTAAATCGCGCATCGAAATCGGGACGATTTTGCCAGGGCACCGTCACAAGGTGAATACAGTACGTACACGCTAGATTTTACTCATGACGCTCGACCGCTCCTCGCGCCACAACGCGAAGACGCAGATCGCAGCATAGAGGCCGACCGCCGCGACTCGCAGCGCGCCTGCCCACCCTGGCGCACAGGAGCCAGCCTCCCGCAGGCGGAGCAGTCGGCTCGCACCGGCGCCGCCGCCCCCGCGGCATTGGGTCGGCGAGGGGTCGGCGAGCAGCGGCAAGCTCTCCTCGTCGCACTCGCCGCACATGAGTGGCGCCGCCCCCGCCCCCTCCTCCCGACCGGCATGGCCCGAGTCGCGCGCCGTCCACGGCAGAGCCCACAG